GAAAAGCAAGGCCTGAAGGTAAGGCAATGCTCGGACAGCGTTACGGCCACCCCGTTTCCTCCACCCGCCCGCTCATCCCTCCCTCACCGCGGTCTCGCCAGCACACGTCTCACGTACACGCGAGGTTTACCGCACAAACTGCAGAGCCTTAAGCCTGGGCGGAAATCCACGCACATCGTTTCCCTCTGCGCGTGACGTACCCTGCGAGGGGCGGATCGCGTCCAGCGCGACCGCGTCGCGTCTACCGGGAATACCGTAGCTGCTGCCCCCGTGGCCTCCACGGAAGGGAGGACGGGCAAGCTTGAGGTAGGTTTGTTGTAGGTTTCTGATCTTCGCATTTCATGGGATTGGCTGCTTCTTCCTGGGGTGCCCCGGATTTTGGGGGGAGGTTGTGACATTGGTATCTGTTACACTCGCGGCAGATCTTTCCAGTGAGTCACGGGACTTGAGGGTGGCATCTGGTCCCTGTGTCCCAGCCCAGTAAATAAACCTGTCATCCCATCATCCCCTCCTCTGCTTGTTCCTACAACCACCTAACGCGTTTACGTCCAGTGGCACTTAAGGAAGCGTATTCCCAGGCCAACGTAAAGCCGTGCAATTCCTAATGCTGCCTTTCTTCTGTTACAGGGATCAAAACAAGCCGCAGTAGGTTTTTATCCCCACTTACGCAGCCAGGCCAGAGGAGAACGGAGCAGACGGCTCTCCTTGCTGCCAAACCAAGCATCACCGTGACTGCAGGAACACAGGAGTTCCTTGGAAACAGAGAATGCGGAAGATCTGCAGGACAGGAGGACCGCTTCCTGCCCACCTAGTCACTAGTCTGCTTTCTAGGTAACGGACAGGCAAGAGGAAGTAATTCTGTACCAACAGCTCTGGGACAAACGGCGGTTTGCCTGCGAGACAGGAGGTTAAAGGTTGTTTTATGGGATTAAGGCAAATTCAGATTTAGGGCGTTTCATGTTCACAGGGCAGTCCAAGGAGTGCCTGGACCAACTTGAACACTGATG